AAGGTGGATAATTTGTAACCTTTAAAATATAAAAATAGAAGTGGGATAATCTATTAATTTTTAAAACAAAACAAAAATAATGAGTTAGCACTCTTATCAAAACTATCAAGGACATGCTTAAAGAATTAAAATGGTAATATATCTTTGTATCACTCAAAAGGCTTAAAATATTACTCAGAGATGGTAATATATTCAACTAGAATGGCTATTGCTAAAGACAAGAAGTTTAGAAAGTCTTGAAATAAGACTAAAGACTAGAAAGACATTGACAAGAGTGAAGAAGGCTTCACTCTTGCCTCCATATATATCCTTAATTAGGAGCTATATGGAAATGTCTTATTAGACCTCCAAAACATGTTGACTTTGCAAAATATATATATCTTAACTTGCAAGGCAAGTTTTTTATATGTGCATCACATAATAAATATCTTTAACTAATATCTATTGTAGAATATATCTATTCATACTTCTGCAATAGATTTGTAACTATTGCTGATCTTCAAAAACTTATCAAAAGTCTTAAGATAGAAATTTCATGCATCACAAGTACCAACCATAGAAATACTAATCCTATGCCTATGAAAGAAGTTCAAAGTCTATGTCAAAAAGTTGTACGATTGAAGAAAGAAAGTAAATCAATCTCACAACTAAATCCTTGAAATTTGGCTTCTACAAGTGCAGTAGGGATAAGGATTAGTATACCCAAGAAGTTTGATGGAATTAGATCAAAATTTTGAAAAAATTTACAACAAATCAGGCTCTATATAAGATTACATTTCTTCCAATATCTTCATGGATTTATTTAAGTTGGGTTAAAAGGCATACTTCTATCTAAAAGTATTCTCTCTTGGTTTACATCTTTGATAGAAAAGGATTCACTATTCTTTTATAATTTTAATTCATTCTTAAAAGTATGTACGTCAACATTCAAAGAAAATGATTGGGAAAGAATAGCAAAGACTAAGCTCTTATCTTTATGACATAGATCACAATTAGCTACGATATATGTTGTTGAATTTCAAAACCTTGCTTGTGACATGGATTGGAATGATAAAGCCCTCATTAATCAATTTTGATATGGGTTGAAGGATAATGTCAAAAATTTGTTATTGACAATGTCAAAAGTAAAATCTTAAGAATAATTTATTGCTCAAGCCATTGCATGCAAAAATCGATTATTTTAAAGGTGTTAAGAACAAAGAATTATTAAAGAGAAACAAATCAAGTAATGACAAAAATTTCCAAGTTTTTCAAAACTTATTTATCAAGATCAAAACCAATGCAAATTTATACAATACATTTTAAATCCTTCACTGAGCAAAAGAAGATTTGATATTGTCAAGAAGATTTGTACTTATATTGTCAAGAAGCTAAGCACTATACTTAACATTGTCCAAAGAAGCAATGCAATTACAAAATGAAGAGCATGATTGCTAAAAAAGATAATATATTATTATCATGTTGGTATAGTAATATTTAATGTGATAAGATCTTCCAATCTAATTATTTTAAGATTAGTTAAAAAAAATATAATCTTCAAATAGATTTGATTTTTTATAATTTTAATTTTTCTTATAATCTAATCTAAATTTTTAATAATGAAGTAGAAATAGATAAGCTTAATATATCCAAATTTTTACTAGTAGGTGCAAGAGCTTTCATGCATGTAGCAAAAAAAGGACCATCTTTTGTTATATATACTACATCCATTTTTGATGGTAGAAAGATATCAAGTAATATTCTTAGCCAATATTAAGATTTTTAGGATGTTTTTGAAAAGAAAAATACAAATATTCTTCTAAAATATTGATCCTATGATTTTTCAATTGATTTACAAGAAAGAACTCAATCACTATTTAGACCAATCTATAACTTATTGCAAAATGAGTTGGCTAAAGTAAAAGAATACAATCACAAGAAATTGGCTAAGAACTTCATACACTACTTGAAATCTCCAACAAGAGCTCCTATCTTATTTATGAAAAAAAAAAAAAAAAAAAAAAAAAAAAAAATCATCTATACGGATGTGCATAGACTATCAAGGACTTAACAAGATCACCATCAAGAATAGGTATCTCCTACATTTGATTTTAGAACTTCTTGACCAACTCAATCAAATAAATATCTATACAAAAATAGATCTATAATGAGCATACAACCTAGTCTATATTAAAAAAAAAGATGAATAAAAGACTACTTTTCAAACTAGGTATGAACATTTCAAATATAATGTCATGTTTTTTGAACTCATAAATACACCAGCTACTTTTCAATATTTCATGAATGATTTTTTTTGTGAGTTTATTGATGATTTTATTGTTTATTCTTTAGACAACATTCTAATTTATTTTAAGAATACAAAAGAACATAAACTTCATATTTGTCATGTATTACAAAAACCTAGAGATGCATGATTATATACAAAGACAAAAAAATATGTATTCTATACTACTCAAGTTGATTTCTTAGAATACATCATTTTCAACAAAAGATTAATAATGGATTCTAAGAAAGTTTACACAATCATAGATTGAAAGGTCTCAAAAATAATTACATGTATAAATAGGTAGAAGTAGATAGAAGTAGATAAAAGTAAGTTAATTCTATAATATCTTCTAAAGAAGCTTCTTAAAAACTTCATAGACATTACTTTGACTTTATAGGTGTCTGTTATTGACTTTTAGGTTAAAAACTTGATCAACAAGTTAACCATGTACCATATATGTTGGTAGCTTAAAGAACAAGATAATTATGTAGTAAACATATAAAAAAAACTTATCTTGTAAGTCAAGGCATGTATCCTATAAAGTCAACACATATTGGAGGTCATATACAACATTGCCATATAGTCCCTAGTTAGATAGTATATATAAAGATAAGAGTAAAGTCCTCTTCACTCTTGTCAATTCTTTTCTTGCTTCTAGTCTAATTTCAAGAGTCTCAAGTTTTCTTGTCTTTTGACAATAAGCCATTCCGGTTTCTTTTTAATATACGTACTTTCTTATTTTTATTTTGTCATTTTTTCTTTGACATGGATTTCATTGATTTATGCATCATCTTCCAGTTCATGTCCTTCATAACATCTGACATGTAAAGACAAACTTCAGTGAAGCAAAGAAATTGAAATATCTTTTGAAGCCTTAAAGATATCATTTATTTTTGTATCAATTTTATATTTCATCAATTTTTTAAAGCATTCTTCATGGAAATAGATGCATTGGACTTTGCTATGGATGTTGTTTTATCACAAATGGGAGCAGATGATAAACTCCATTAGATTGTTTTTCATTCTAAAAAATTTTCAGCAATTGAGATTTAACTATGAAATCTACAATAAAAAGCTACTTGTAATTATGGATTCATTTCAAGAATGGCATCATTATCTAAAAATGTCCTTCTAATTGAGTTATTATATATACAAATAACTAGAATCTCAAGTACTTCATGTTGGAACATGTTTTGAATTGTTGCCAAGTTCGTTAGAATAAGTCTTTATTAAGATTTGATTTCAAGATCACTTATAGATTCAAAAAAATAATAAGATTTATCAAATGTCTTTTTTAGATGTTCTTATCTTGCATCAAAAAAAAAAAAAATGCATCTTTTGTTCAAAAAAAAATGATTCTTTTGAAATTAGAGCATTTTCATCTTCTAACAATAAAATCAATATTAATTGTTGATTCAATCTTTGTCAAGCAAATTCAATCAAGTATGTCTTCTAATCCTCTTGTTCATGATACCGAGAATAATTCTTTTAAGTCTCATGATACTTTTAAGTTTGAGTTTAAGAATAATCTATTCTACTTCAAGAAAAGATTATACATTTTAGAAGACAAAGAATAATTACATATTCTTCAATATTGGATAAAAAGACTCAATTTATATCAAGATTTTGAAAAAAAAAATTTAAGATATTAAAGGTGGATATAAAAGCTCTCTTTGGCTTTTCATCCTTAAATTAATGGACAAACAAAACAAGTGAATCAAGTTTTAGAGCAATATTTGAAGTGTATTATCAATTATCATGAAGTTGATTGGAAAAAAATTTTGTCATTAGTAAAGTTTACGTAGAATAATTTGGTACATTCTTCTACTCAAAAAACATATTTTTTTATCAATTATAATTATTATCCACAACTTAATACTTTTGACTTTTCAAAAGTTAATAATCTTGGAATAGAAGATTTGACAAATCATTTGTCAAAACTACAAGCAACAATAAAAGTATAATTCAAGGAAGCTCAAGAATGACAAAAGATCAATGTTGATGCCTATTGCAAGGAACAACCACAATTCAAATCATGTAACAAAGTATGGCTACTTTGTTGCAATATCATGTCTACTCATTCTTATGATAAGTTGGACTATCATAGGTTTAGACCTTTTCTTATTAATGAACAAGTCAATCTTGTTACTTATTGATTGAATCTATCGAAGTCTATGAAGATCCATCATGTATTCCATGTATCTCATTTTGAGCCATATAAGACAATGAATATCTTGAGAAGAAGATAAATGTTACTTCTTCCTATAGAAGTAGATAATAATCAAGAGTTCAAGGTAGAAGAAGTCTTAGATTCAAGATGGCATCGAAATAAGTTGAAATATCTTATTCATTGGTACGGATATGATATTAGTCAATGCACATAGGATCCAACAAAGAATCTTGCAAATGCAATAAAGAAGGTTGAAGTTTTTTTATTGATGACATCCATCAAAACGAAGATGAAGAATAGCAAATCTTTGTTATAAAAGAAACAAGATCTAGGGAAGATAGCATTCTACCTTCAACTTTTATTTGGTACTTTTGTGTATTTGTAATACTAAAGAGTTGAAGAACCAACAACCAACAGATTCAACTCAAGAGCATAAATATTTTTTAAGAAAGCTCATTTTTTAGCCAGCAACCTTCGACTTATCACCTCACAACTGTTGATGGCTAAACATTGATGTCGTTCTCCAAAATCTAGGCTCAATCCTTGTGAGCTCAACTCCCTTCACATTGCTAGGGATTCACTTAGATGGTTATCTTTTTATATTGATCGTTGGAAAATACAGTGATTTAAAACAACCTACAACAACTACTTGATACTAGCCAGTAGCTGCAACAATCCAAGCCTAAATTTTGACTATGTTTTCTCTCAACATTAGCTACTCGTTTCCTAACTAAGGATGTTGGAAACATTCCGCTCCATCTCAACAACTACTGCAGAGCATTCTCTCATTGTCATCAATGCTAGCTTTAATTTCCTAGCAATATTGAGTCAATATCAGTTGGCCTTGGATGAGCACACAACAACACCGCATGCATCGAATTGCGAGGTGTAGTTGTCGATAGGAAAGTCCAGTAACTCAAGAATCCAACTCCGCCACAAGCCACATATCCGATGAAGGCCAGCTTGATTCAACGAGCGAGGAGGATGACGCTCAACCTCTCTGTGGAGCAACCCCTGCCAAACCCATCTCCACGCTTCCGCCAAAGACACAACCCATGTCGTAGGAATAACTAAAAGAATAACAAAAAATAGAGCAGCTCGTCACAACACCACGTGAATCTATCGCAGCATTTCGGCACCGGAAGCAACCGAATCTAGATGAGTAGCAAAATTGCACCTTCAACATACTGACATTGTAAGACAGAATTCTAAAACAAAATCAAGGAGCACCACTGACGAGTAAAGGGATTGAGCAGTCCAAAGACCCGATTGCACCGTGTCTCTGTCAGAATTTAGAAACAAAAGCACCGCCGTTGACCATAGCCTTTGCACAAACTGGACCAGCCACCTTCATCAGACCCACCGACCTTTTGTTGCACGCCCACTTGCTAATGATCCGAACTCCCCTTCTAGAACCTTCGAAGACGCTTGATCATGGGAATCTTCTAGCAGAGAGCAACCTCACACTAAGCCTTATTACTTTGCCACCAAAATGCGATTTGAAGCCCGTCCAAGAGACGTTGAAAACCAAATTCGGCTGCCAACAATTAAGAAAAAAAATCGACTGCAGCAATGGATTGTCAAAGATGAGTCGCTCAATCCAACCGCAGCTCTCCAGGAACAAAGCACAGCAACCACTGATCACAAGGAAACAAAAACGGAACACATTGTTGATGCGGACTTGGCCGCCGAACTTGACTACTTCTGGTTGCAAGCTTGCCGCGAATGCAGCCAACACCAAGAACAACGCCATTGCCGCCCAGTGTCAGGGAAACCGACGACAATACCAACTTTGATGAATTCCAAAAAACATAGCCAAAAAATAACACCGTAGAAGCGATCTCCCACAGAGCCAACCTTGATTTGCTTCTAACTTATAATTTTCTTTACTTATTTATCACTTATTACTATATATCTTTAAACTATTAATAACTACAATTTTCTTTTTTCTTTTGACAACAAGGGCTACTCCCATTGGGCCATCATCTAATATCACCTAACAAAATATATTCATCATGGAAATTTTGTTTCAATAAATTTTACCTTAGGTTGCATATCCACTACTAGCAAAAAAATCCTCTATTTAGCTAAGAATTCCTCTACTAACTCACAAAACTTGTGAATTAAAGCTAACAAGTGTCTTTTTTTTAACACCCAAATGAGTCAATTCAGTGACTCACAACACTACATCAAAACCATATATATGTTGTGTCCATATAGTATACATATGGTATTAGTATCATATACCATATGAATCCTACCACATAATATATTTTATATGTTGTAGCTCGTACCAAGATGGCCATATCCATATCTTATTTATATTGGATATGGGTTCTATATTTTTAGAATCTTGATTATGCTAGATTCCTTTAAGATGCTGAAAGATGCCAATTTGATGATTTTTACTAGCTTTTTAAGATGCTTTCTAAGATGGGATTATTGGAACACCCAAGACAGATTAGGTGGACCAATGATAATCTCTATTAGCATCATTCTAAGATGCTTTCTAAGATGAAAATCTTGTAGTCTTACATGATCATTGGACCACCTAATCGTCACTGCCACGAGGGTTCTGTATTTTAAACCACTTGCAATTGAACAAAGTTCGATTTGTGCCAAAAATAAAATAAAATGAAATAGTACAGAAAAAAATCAAATCAAATCAAATATGATCTTTATTCTCAATCACAGTTTTAACTTCCCAATTTATTAAGTGACAGATTTCATTTTTGTACATATTTCATACACATGCAATTGCGTGCACAGTTGATGCCTCTATTTCTACAACATTCTACACCTCTGTAGTTTAACTCTCCAAACAATATGTTTAAGTCGCTGCTTTTAGAACAATAATTGCACACTCCAGACAATCCATTACAAAAGTTATTCATTGTCGAAGAGGAGTTAAATGACTTCCAAAATAATTTCAGACACCTTGCAAACATAACTAAGTAATAAACTTAATATAAGCACAAACCATGCCATGGGTTTCTCAATGCTTTCTTTACAAATTACAGGAATGAAGGAGAGAGTCCGCCTATATTTATGTTATTCCCTATAGTATATTATAATTAGAATTTAGAATTTGGCAACTGACTTTTTAGTTTAAGATTGTACACAAATTTTAAATCACTGTCCTTTAAAATTTAAAAGTCCTTCGACATGTATATGTATAAGTGAATGTATGTATGTATGTATATATATATATATATATATATATATATATTATTGCATCGTGATATGCTACTGTGCATAATTTCTTTAAGAACTTGTTTTAAATATAAAAGAAGAGTGCACACTTGTCACATTTTGACAGTTCATGAAGGAATTAAACCTTTAAAAAGATCATACCATCTAAGTGTTTTTTTATCACTAGCACTTTTAATAATCCATGGATTTGCATTTGAGCCTTCAAAAAAACGATTTTTCCAGGCATTTTAAATTGAAAAAATACTCAAAATTTTGGAATGCTATAGTTTAGAATGCAAAGTAATATTTTTATATGAAATATATATATATATATATATATATATATATAGAGAGAGAGAGAGAGAGAGAGAGAGAGAAATTTCAGATTTGTTCTTATTGAAGTTATAAACGAATAAAAAATCCATAAAAATGAAAAACAGAATAAAATAAAATAAAATAAAAAATTATTTAATTTTATAGTTTTCTATTAAAAACAGTTTTATGTTTCTTCTAAAAATGCATCTATAAACAAATACTCATCAAGAACAAATATATCTTATTATATACAAAATAATTATTGCTTCATATAAAATACTATAAGTAAGACATGACATGTTTATTAACTTCCAAATATTCTTACAAATATATACAAATCTGTTTATATTGTACGTACTTTTTGGTAAAAACTAAAAGACGTTTTTAAATCTTATATATGGTTTCATTTTGTTAGAAGAATATAAAATGAAATATCTAAAAAGTATTATCTAACAATCTCTACAGTATGAATGTATGTATATGTATATATTCAATTTTTTAAAATTAATATTATATATATATATATATATATATATATAAAGAGAGAGAGAGAATATTAATTTTAAAAAATTGAATAGAATAAAAGAAATATGACAAGTGGGTGATGGACTATGGTGACAATAGCAAGAATTGTAGTGACATTAGCAACAGCCTCTATATATATATATATATATATATATATATATATCTTATTGTTTACATGAGCAAATTCAACAAGGTACAAAAAATATTTTGTTTGTTTTAAAAACTTAAGAAAAAGCCATGATGTTTTAACATTTTGCAATAAACATACAGATATTTTAGAAAAAATATGTTTTAAAATACATTAAATAATGGAAGCATAATTCTAGACGCATACAACAAATAAATAACTTGCAATAGGGTTGAAATTTGTATTCTGATGTTACCATGTTAATTTAAAATAAATGAATTAACCTACATATTGAATTGATAATGATAAGTTTTTATATACATCTGTTCTTAATAAATACAACGTTTATCAGCATAATTATCAATATATATTTTTTAACCGGATTTTATCAGATCTACAACTGGCATGCTTCAACTACGAACGATGCCGCGCGTGAGCGTCAGCCGGTTGGCCGCAATCGCAAACTTATCGCAACGCATTCGGAAAGGGACGGAAGGGCATTGCAAACTCATCCGTTGTGAGGAGGGTGAGAAACCTGGAATCTGGGCGTGGACATCGGGCACGACGTTGGCTGGGAATCAGGAACCGGGGAATGATGCGCATCTGAATCCTTCTATTCTCCGCGAAAAGCCACCCATCTCTCCAACAATGCGTTTCTAAAAGCCGGGCCATACTGTCCTTTATCAGATTTAGAATACTGTGTGCTTTAATTCTATCATTATTGAAATCCCTCTGTCGTTTTTCGGAGTCGCCAGCGTCAAAGTTGGCGCGTGCTCATTGGAACTCGAGTGAAACGTCAGAGATTTTGCGGCGTATACGATGTCTTTTCGGGCTTGAAAAGGAATGTTGGGATTGACTTTCAAGGAGGGATCGGATCAATAAGTAATTATCAAACTCTTACATCCAGTGCTATAGATTTCGTAAGTTTTAAATACATGTAATTTTCTTTTTTTGGCTGGGGAATTTGAAATGAAGTGTGCTTTTTTCTCAAGGAAATGCCACTTCTGGTCAGTACATGATGTAATTAAAACCTCGGGACAACAATCCGTTACATTGGTATTCTATTTTCAGAGGCGGAAACGAACCACTTTCACCATTAACAGATCTTCAAAATCTCCGAGCAAAAGTCTTATCCACAAGAAAGTTGGTGTATCATTCTACATCTGTAACATTCCATGTAAAATAAGTGTGGGTGTGTGGCTTCTGTGTTGCCATTCTTGCTGAAGACTCGACTGATGCCGCCACTGCCCAAAACTAGTTACCCCTACTTCAAACGGTTTTTCTGAGATTCGATGTGGGGGGGGGGGGGGGGATTTTCACTGCTGCCAATTGCAGATTTTGTCGTTCATTTACCGTCGGAATCATCTTCCACAGCATCGTCGAAGCGTGGATCATGATGTAGGAACTGAAATACAAGAAGTGAAGCCGGTCAACAAGTGAAGGAAACAATTTGAAGCACTAGTTTCGAACTGGAAGTACTTACTTAGAACTTGATGTGTCTGGGTTAAATAATTTATCTGATCATTTTGCAAGATCTCTGAAAGAGAAATAATGATGAACATTATGCAAATCAATGTTGAGTCTCCAGTTGTAGAGGAATATACCTGCGCAAGGTCTACGTTTCGATCGGTTTTATCATTCCTAGGGCTGGCCCCAATCCCATTGCCATTCACTTCATCTGAGTCAAAAATCCACTCCGCTTCCCCTTCTTGCTCTGTCCTCAAAAGTAAAAGACTTTCGTCAATCAGTCAGATGGTCAGAGACCTACAGCAGTGCGGCCCCATTATGGCTCACACAACTGAGGCTAAAACCTTCACGAATCTGCAATGCCAAAATGACCTATGACAACTATTCACATACAAGATCGACAACACATACAAAGTTGGTGCCCAAACCTGATGAATCCAGTACAGACATGAAAGAATAGGTCGACAAACACTAGAATTGAAAGATACGATGAGGAGAAAGCGTACGAGGTAGCAATTCAAAAGGCTGTGGAAATTGACATACCAACTTCAGGATCGGGGTTCAACAGGGCAATATCGCATAGAACTTGAAACAGTTGATCCACTGTCGTGACACAAAGTCTGGTTAAGGAGTTCCTCGATACTTGAAAGTGCAAATCAAGATGTAAAAATCTACCAGCAGCGCATGGAAAATGTAAATAATATAATGCTGATCACTGCATTAAAGGCACTAGAAGCGCTTAGAACTCAACACATGAGCTAATTCCCAGATCCTTGCCACATACTCGGAAGCTACAGTTCTAATGGCTTCAGTGGGAAAGACTATTCAATAGCTTCCATTCCTCCTGCGTTGCACCTTCGGTAATTTAACGACTAAAATTAAGAATAATTCCTCAAGAACAAGATTTTATTAATCAAGAAATGAACGGAACGAAGGACGAAAACTAACAAATCAAATAGAAAACTTCAGGATACGGACACTGGGATCTCTTGGAACAAGCCGCATCTCTGTAACAAGAGACAAATCGTTCGGGGAGCCGTTCGTTCCATCCGGAAGAGGCTCCTCTGCATCATCTGCATCTTCTTCAAACGCATCCTCCTCATGGCCTGTCTCAATCTACATGAAGTTTTGGAACCGAATTTGTTTTCAAATATTTTCACAGCACAAACCACATACTACAAACTGTTGAAGCTTTTGCATACAATTGGAAAAAGCATATACCCCAGAGAGCAACAAATTATACTGCATGACGGTGAATGGACCTCTATAGAAGGGCAGAGCCTAGAAAGGTGAACCTGAGTATAGATGCAGGGCTGTGGATAAGCTTCAACATCTCTAGAAATAGCATGCATTGTCAGTGCAACGAAATCAACAGCATAGCCCTTATGAACATCGCCGTCACATAACCAGACCAAGCGCCTGCCATCCAACCAAGACAAATATTTCAAGTCAATAGGAAGTATGAGCGCTCAAAGAACACCGTCGATCTTGATTGAGATCGAGAGCGTCGACCAAAAAGTTAGAGCTCAGAGACAACACACTCCATACACACTTACAAAACAAATAATTGTGCACAAAACTAACAAGAGTGAAAATGGAGTGAGGAATCTATTTAATACACACAACCTTCCCAGTACCAGACCGAGATGTTACTACAACATCACCCTACTCATATTGCGGTTCTCTACGAGCTGATAAAATGACCAGTGTGCAGCTGTGCATGGGTGCCAACCTCGAGTAGAAAGCTAACTTCAATCAGTAAGCACCTTCTACATAATACATCGATATTGCTTCATGTTATTATTGACACCGTTTCAATGTAAAAAGTGCTCTTAGAGGCAACACAAAAGTGAATTGGTAAAGATGTGTTCGAAATAAATGAAAGACCCCAAACCCTAAACCAAAAAGTCCCAAGTCTTTTGGCAAAACATAAGTAAAGATGAAGAGAAGACTCCAATCACGGGAATCACCACTAATAATTCATATGTAGGGTAAAATTCCTAACTTTCTTTGTGTCTGCAGAAAGTTATGTCAAAGTTGTGGAGGTAGGAGCCAATAATATCGGCAGAAAGGGCGATAAGTCTAATTAAGCGTCCTGGATTTTTTTTGTGGGTGTTGAAACATGTGCACCATTGCCCCAATCACCTCCGCAAGAAGGTACTTGTTTGCAATTACTACATATTAAACAATCCGATAGAAGATAAAAACAAAAAGAAGCAGATCAATGTGGAACAGCTTCAACAACAACGCAGAAGTGTATTCATCAATCGTTTCCTATAACAAGAGAGAAAAGTACACAAATCTCTGTCTACAGAACCTGTTAATTTTTTGAATATCCTAATGCATGTTAAAACGGATCAAATTATGTTGGTACTAGCTATACCCATGAAACCAAAAATAGGGGGAAACACTTACAAGTAAATGTGGCAATAACACTAAAGTGGAGGTTCTTCGCAGCACGAGGAATGGAGAAAAAAAAAAACAAAACAAAACAAAACAAAAAAAAATACTCCACACATCGCATTTGGGTGCACATAATGGACTGGACATTTTATTTGAAATGAAAAAAATAATCTGCACCAACCTGGTGGTTACGTATAGTGTTCCAGGCTCCTCAATAAGTCCCTCCCCCAGAACGATCCCAATATCTGGCTGAATGCGAGCGATGGTTTCATCGCTCTCTGAGTCAACTACAGGAGTCCCGGAAGTAGTCCGCTCCGTGACCAGAGACAGACCCAGCGCCATCCTGATAAAATACCACTTCTAAGTCCTCTCTCGTTCTAAAATACAATGATCACCAGAAGTAGAACCCAAGTAGCAATAAATTGTGTAATCCTCTTCTGCACAGAACGAGCTGAACGACAACTCAAAATGCTGCAACCGAATGCGGAGAGCCCGAAACCCTAACAAAGCAAAAAAAATCGACTCTTATGGAAACGGATTGATAACCGCACGATATCGGCCCATGTGATGATACTGCTTGTCAGAGGCACGATATCAACAATTTCTTAACGATGAAGAATGTCGAGTTCGACGACGAACGCTTCAGAGTTGCTCCCGCTTGTATGCTTGAAACTGGACGTGGGCATGGAGTTTTGCCGGATGGGGCCCTACGTATTGCCTTGGCTGAACGGGTGCCCAAATTTCCCTCGGATTCATCCTACTTTGCGCGAACCCAAGTTGTTGAACTCTACTTCGTTATCAATCTGGTCTTCGTTCTTATGTCCAAGCGTCGGGTGGTTTAAATGGTGAGCTCTGTGGAGGCCTAGTCGTGCTGCCTGCTCTATATTTGTTTAGTCTCTACCGAATTTCGCACCCCCTGATTTTACTGGTCTTTGATTGTGAATGTAAGCTTGCAATGTGATGCTTCCATATGGAAGTCCTGAAGCTAGTGTTCAGGATTTGGCATTTAAAGATAATTAGCTTGTTACGGTAGAGTGCCATGTTTTTGCCTGCTCCTAAGCACTGATCATTGCATTGATGTTCCTGGTTAGAGAGTTTGAGCTGAAATTTGGACAGTAGATGAGATTGTATATCAAACAGGTTTTCGAGTGTCGCATGCTTGGCATGAGCGAAAAATTGAAGTGCGTCTGCGAGTGCGGGAAACTAACGTCTAGAGTTGAGGTGCTCCGCTCATAGACATTGGCAATCTTGGGTTCACCATCATCTTGTACCTATTTTTTCAGTACACACATTGTAATGCCTCATTGTACGAAAGTACGAATTTAGGGTGAGACCTTGCCTCATCCTTCAATTTCTAGGGGCATTCACTCTTTTTCTTGTGCAGATTCTTCCGAAATCACTTCTTGAACCATAGAGAATCACGGGACCGTTTTGATATTGTCTTGCCGAATAAGTGCCGAAATGGGTAGATTATCTTAGGAATAATCCTAGTAATTACCTTAGCAGTTACTCTTGAAATTCATCATGCATGTGAAATCAGTAACTAAAGCACTTACTTTCATGTGATTTAATTTGGAACACTTGTTGGGCCACTCATTCTTCTGCGCTGCATATGCTACAACTTTTATTTCTATTGTCATCTGTCTTCTGCCGTTTGTCAACTCAAGTATTCCTATTCTCTCTTCTTTGCGCAACGAAATAAACACAAATCTAGCTTGATCTAGCAGCAAATTCGTTTCTTTTACCGCTTCTAGATTGGAATTGTTCACGATTACATATTTCCTCTAATATCTAATACAATCATTTGAATTATTACTAGTATTAATAATACTGTGCAGTTTTGATGAAAATAAGTCGGTCAGATTGAATTAAGCGAACCGGCCGGCAAAGCTGCACTCTAGGTTTCGAAACCCTTGAGCGAGAGCTTTGACTCTTCAGACGTTTAGTTTGCAAATCAGTCGAATTTACTCTAACATCCGCTGATTCTCGAAGCCAGTCGCTATGAAGCGGTTGGTTCCTTCATCCTTTATTCAATAACCTGCTTTTGCTGAATCATCTGGAAAGTGCAAGTGCTTAAGTGCGAACAAGTAGTTAACTTTCAATGTGGACGAGAATTGATAGAGAGAATCTTACATAACTGAAACGATTGTCTTACTTTTACTGTCACCCATAGAAAAGTCAGATAAATGGTAACATCACCACGAGACACAATGTTGAGTCGCTCAACCTGGCATTCGATTTTTGGTAGGCCAACAACAGTTGGAGGGCAGAGCAGAGCATCGCAAGTTGATGAAATCAATGCCAATGTATACACTTTCCCGTAACCATTGGGAAAGACAAAAACTTGTTCAGAGAAGCGGCTTCTACTCCACCGATCTACTCAGTGTGTCTGTAGGATGACCGTTAGCACCGTGTAATTGTGTTATCTGCACTCCACCGATTTGGAGCACTCATCAAGGAAGTCCTCCGCAACGACAGCAAGTCTTCTGTTGTTTGATTGTAAATTATTATACCCACCTTGTTAGCGACTGTACTTATAGATTAACGCTCTCTGCTGCCAAATTTTGTTGAATATGCATGCAGCTAACAGCGCACTTTTCCTCAACGGTACCTGTGATGTCATGTCTAATGACAACTGCAATCCAACAAGAGTTTCTTTGAACTTCTTAACTCCAGGTTTTCAAGTCTTAATATGGCAATAGCCATTGTTCCAGTGCTTATTTGCCTAAACCATCATGTCTAGATCTCTCTCTCTCGAAGCTTGTTGGAACTCGCTCAGTCGTTGCTCGACAATGGATCGTCTAAGAACTTGGAAACTTGAAGAATAAGCTTGTTATGTCTGCATCAGTTATTTTACTTTTGCCGTGTATACTATTATTATATCTTCGGTCTCATGTAAAGGCTTCAGATTTCTGGATGTTAGAAGGATTCTACGGCAAAGAGTTCACTGTGTTCATACATACCAATGTGCAGCCTTTCAATGTCCTGAAAGTTGCAAGGGTCTTCGACAATTGGGTGACATCCCTACTGCACGTTTAGTTTGAATCGTTGTTTACAACTTTGTGCAAACACATATTTCTAGATCCCGTTGATCAGAATCACGATCTGTTCAGGAAACAACTTGGAGACGTTAGGGCTAACTAAGTCCGTTCTAAGGAATTTCCAATGCAAATCCGAGGATGTAAATTTCTTCCCATGTTATATATTAAAAGGTGGGGACCTCCAAATTCCCCATATTTAGAAACAAAAGACCCCAAGTTCGTACTGACAAATGAATCCCAGTCAGGTATGAGCTCACTCTGACAGATGCTTTTTGAGAACCTAATTTGATCCGTTCAAATAGAATCTAATGTTATTGGAGTTTGTTCTCACCATGATATTCTGTATGTGGAGTTATTTTTTAGCTAATGAGAATGGAGAAAAGCGTTAAAAAATTTGAGTTTAATCCACATCACACAGGTGGTTTTTAAAAAAACTCAAAAATTCAAGATTTGTGTTTTAAAATACAAAATATATCTACTTGAAAATTTAAAAATCAGTTTTTAATGCTTATTGTAATTATCTCAATAAGTATGTAATCTACCATATTTTGAATCAACATAATAAAAAATAATAAAAAAAAAAGTGCATTTGATGGTATCTTTTGACTGTATACTATTTTCAAAGACCAAGGTTTTTAAATGGCAACTTTTCTTTACCAAGCCAAAGATCTTCATAAGGCTTCAAATCATGGCTTTTTAAAGTAGCCTTTTGGTTCAAAAGATCTCAATAGTAGCCAAATTTTTTTTTTTTCAAACACAAATCTTTAAGAAGCCTTGGATCTAGTATGATACATAAATATCTTGAGTTCTTGTATGTGATTGAGATGTTTAATTTTTACTAAAACCATATTGTATAAAAGTCACCAATTATAAGGGTCTTTTTAAGAATCTTAATTTTAATTATATAAGATATATTCTTCAAAATAGATTGTAATGTGAACATGGTTATGCAAGATTATCTTTGGTTTATAACAATATTAAACACATTTGTAAGAAACTTATAAATTAGATTTTATTTATCATATTTTTCAATTGGCAACAAGGCGGATTCATTATCTTCCAACATTAAATAATTTTTATCATTAAAAAAACATTTAAATGTAGATATTTAGTAAAGGTTCTCTTTATACAAATCCTATTAAATAATACTTTAGTTGCATGAGTTAAAATTGTAGATGTGAAGTATAAAACTACATAATAATCTACGTGGCATTTGGCCAAATATTTATTAATCATGTTGGAAGTATTTTTTTACATATAATGTATTATTTGAATATATTGACATAAAGTTTAAGTTAAAACATAATTAAAGAACATTTATATTTTTAAAGAAAGGCAAGAGATCATAAGCTTCAAAGATTATGATTGGTTAATAATAATAAAAAATAGTAATAACAATTGTCAAAATTCTAAAAATAGTTATATAAGTTTTATATTTAGAGTTATAATAGAAGAATAATTTGGTTCATTTTATTCACTAATTTCACTCTATACTATCTTCAAAAGCCAACTTTAGAAAAATAAAAATATATATATATGTATTTTTTCATTAAATTGGAGACATTCTAAAGTCTTTTAGAATATAGACTTTTAAGGTGAGTTTTTAAGAATAAATATCTCATAATTTATTAAATAAATAAATTTTAATTTGTATATTTGAATTTATGTGAATCTTAAATTAAAAGAATTTGGAACAATTATCATTACTATTATATTTTTTGCTGAAAGTTCCTAAAAATATTGCATAATAATACAATTATCAACTTTAACATTAATCCACTGACAACTCTTTAGTTTCTCTTGGTAATTATAATTGCAACTCTCTTATAATAAATGCATCTTTCAAATGACCTATAATTTCATCATATTAAAAACAATATGAAATAAGTCAAAGAAAGTTTATCACCTTCTTTAGAATAAAAACATGTGGGAATGAAACAACTCTTGATAAACTCCTATTACTCAACCTCCTCCAAACTAACTTCTATGATCAATCTCTTGTCTTATTTCTTCATCTCATCACACTTAATGATTCAATTTGATATACATCTCTACCTTTTTCATGACATTTGTAACAAAAGTTGAGCAAAAAAACTACTATATATATATATATATATATATATAATATAATATTAAAATGACTCACCCATTTACTAAATCAAACCATCCTATCATAAGCATTATTAGAATTATGGCTCTCATCTTGACCTCCTTCATTCCCAATCTTCTCCATATTGACTGCTTATTCACTTCCCTTATTTCAAGCTCTCATCCCAACCTTGCTTATTCCTCCTTGTTCCCTAGAATAGGATGAATCAATTTAATAAATGAATGGGTCATTTTAACATTTCCCTTTGTATATATATATATATATATATATATATACATACATGTATATATAATAAACAAGTCATTTATGAAATCAACAACAACAAAATGTTTCTAAATTCAAAACTAGTTAGATCCAAAAATGGCAAGTTGAAACTCTAATCTATTCTAACATGCTAATTGCATTGCTCTTATTTATTTATTTATTTATTTATTTATTTCACCCTTAAACCAGGATTTGATCAATGTTCATTTGGTGAGCTATGCGGTTGACTGAACGCCGCGTAACGTTGCTCAGTATAGAGCGTAGCGGAGTGGACAAGTTTTATAGCACAAGAGTTTCCAAAACACGTTACTGCGTTGGTTAGAATCAAAACACACTTTGGTTTTTTGCTTCGTCTAATTCTCATATTCCATGGAAGAAGGAGTGCGAGCAGTCGGTTCATTTTTCTAAGAGTCATGCATTTCATGAATAATCCGCATTTGGGTCTTGCGCGGTGAATTGAACTAACTTGCATAGAAGCAGCACACCAGTCTACCTTCCTCTCATTATTATTATTATTATTATTATTCTTGTTATTCTTGTTCTAATTCCCCAAGCCCTGCTTTTCCGTGCAAGCATCAAGGCAGCGTCAACTGCAACACATCCAACACGACCTGGTCCATATTATTCCGATGCCCAGTTGAGCTAATGCATCTATGTACCTCTGCCAGAATAATGACTGGTAGCATTGAACAACGAAATCAAACTGTGAAACAGCAACTGGCTGATGTGAATCAGTTGAATCACTACAGATTGCATGGCTTTACTGTTTTTGTTTTTTTACTTTGCAGAGGATGTGCACTGTTAACCCTAACGCAGATGCTGGTAGATGCAGGTTAACATTGAAACAGGGTTTCGGAATGAAGGCTGCTAGAGGGTCGAGTAGGAACTGGGTTCAGAATCTTGTTTTCATGAATCTTCTCATGAAGCTTAATCCCTCAGGTATCATTCCCTACGCTGTTGAGAGGGTTTTGGAGCTTTTTTCAGGCACTGCTCCAAATGCTGTGTGAAGGGATTAATTAGGGCATTGTTCTTACAGCTATCGCACGCATTCCAATACCTTTGGCTTCGGTAGGTCTTTCTGTCGCTGAGTCATCACCAGCTCTACTCACGCCACAAAGACGCACACATCGAAAAAAATAGGTCACTAGCAAGAAAGAAAAGAAAAGAAAACACCAAGTCTGTCGATAAGAAACGGATGTCGTTCTCCTCACTCACGTCGGAAACTCCACCGGATTCTCAGTTCACCAGCTCAGGTTGTCACTGATCGACGTGGCAGCGATGGTCGTCAATGTTTGTGAAGCTGCTTGAAGTTGCGATCGACAGTTCGGTTAGTGAGGCTCTCGTCGGTGCGGAGTTATGATTTGTTGGGTGCGCGGTGGAGAGAAGTTGGGTTGGGTTGGGTTTGGAGGGGGTGAGGAATTAGGGCTTCCATGAGGCAGAAGGTTTTATCATGGCTGGTGAGCCGGATTTTCTCTGGACGGCACTTGGATTTAGGGGAAAATTGCTTTGGTTTTGGAGCTTGCAATCGTGGTCTGGCGGAAGTTACTACCAAGAGGTTTTCGAGGAGTTTTCTTAGTGCAGTGCGAGGGGAGTATGCTGTGGAAGGGTTTAGGGCCGTGGAAGTGCCATGGAGTTTTCGGAATAGTAGGGGGTTTGCTGCGCCTGTGGTGACAGGGGGGAGTGGTGGTGGTAGTAGTAGTAGTAGTAGTAGTAGCAACATTAAAGGGGGGAATGGAGAAGGGAACAGAAGCGATCGGAAGATTAATAGGGCGATTGTGGCTCGGATGGTTCGATTGGTTGGGGCTGATGGGCACGAAATTTTGAGCCGGTATGAGGCATTGAACAGGGCGCAGCAGGAGGGATTGGACCTAGTGGAGGTGGATGGGAAGGCGGATCCGCCGGTGTGCAAGTTGATGGATTTTAGCAGGGAGAGGTTTAAGGTGAAGAAGCAGGAGAAGGATCTTCGAAAGAAACAGCTGGAGAGGCGGAGGCTGGATGACTTGAAGGAGGTTCGATTTAGCAGCCGAACGGAACAGAAGGATTTGGAAATGAAGGCCGACGTGGTAACCAGGCTTCTCACTCGCGGGCATCGTGTGAAGTTGGCTGTGCAATTCCATGGCAATGATAAAGGGGAAGAGGTTGGTGTCGAGCTGCTGGAGCGGGCGATGAGATTATTAGGGGTTGAAGTGAAAGTGGAGAATGGACCGCGAGTAGAGAAGATGCGAGCGTGGGTTATGATTCGACCCATTCAGGAGCAGAGGAATTCAAAAAATAAAAAGGCTTCGAAAACAATACGTGAAATTGTGGATGCTGATGATTTGAATGAAGAGGATACCAACATGAAGGCTGTGAAAGAAGCCGAAGGCTAAGTGCTAATCCAGAGTGAGCACGCTAATGCTCTTCCCCATTCTAAGCTTAGTGCTTCCTATGTTGCTAATAGGAGGCGGGTTATTGATTGAATGACTCACTCGCCAATTAGTTAATTGAACTCAGAGGAGTGGGAGCCCGATGGAAATTGAGCAAACAATAAACGGCAGGCGCATGCTTGCTACATTGCTTGAAGTGGGCGTTTGCACGATCCATTGCTAGGGTAACACCGGCATTTCGATGCTTAGGATCGCATGGCGAGACGGTACTGAGAAATCTCTGTACGGCTGGCAATCTTGACCCAGCTGGGTTTCAGAATCCTCTTTAGATTCGATGCTCCTAAGTAGAGGCTGGGTTTGTTCTGGTGCAAATGCTTAGAGAAGTACTGGAGTGGCAGCTATTTTGAACTAGGCTGCAGCTTACCCATGGACACGCCTTTGTAAGTCAGTCATATTTATGGCAGCCTCAATGCGTTTGTAACTCGTGCTTGGAGATGCTTTCTTGAAGCATAGCTCTGTCAGACACGCTTTAAAGCATACTTGAGAGCATGGTATGAGTTGTTACAGGGAGAGAGCTGACGGTGCTTACCTCCTGCTTGCAATTTTGGAGCTTCAGTTTTACAGATTCAATAAGTTTTGAGTAAACCTACGCCTTTTTACTGCAGAGGTCCTCTTTGAAATTGTTCTGCTCGTAGAACACTTGAAAATTTCTGTACAATCTGACCATCTCTTGGAATATTATCACGCTGCTATGTAAGTTACTGAGATCGTTCCTACCTGCAGAATGTCCAGCAGCATGTTGCTGCACAAATCTACAATGTTTTCTTGTTTTTACTAGGATCATCCGGACAAGTAAATGCCGTTGTCATACTTTTAGAGGATGCAGTACCCTTTGTAGGTTTCTTTTTGGTTACGCAGAGAGCTTCCTAAAACACCGATGTACGTCGTTTCTTACAAGATCAAGTGTTCAAGTTCTTTGCAGATCCGCAATTTGTAATTTGTGGTTTCTGCCCCAAATTTCAAATTTAACGCTCTGATTCTCTAGTCCTCTCGTCATGAGGTGTCTTAGGCTGAGCTGTTTAAAGGTAGATATTTATTGTATTGTGCTGCAGGTAGAGTTTCTTAGAAACGTGTTGAGTCAGAGGGGAAAACTTACGCCCCTGATGATTTTGGTGTTCGCGACTGGTATCAACTCTACCAGTGCCATTCAGTTTGACAGTGACCTAAAGAGAATGTTTCCTTTATTAGCTAATACGGCTGTTTCAGTTTCTACGTGTTTTTTTAATTTTAAATTAATTTTTCGCCTTGATGAGTTTACTGACTAAATCAATTAAACAACGTTCTCAAAGATGATGACTAAGTCATCTTGGCTCTTGAGATATATCGTCAGAACTACAGAGCGCTGCATCGTATCTGTGAAGTGCAGGTGTCAGGGGAGCTGTGTCCAACCAATGGGCTTATTATACCATCCACTTTCTTTGTTGCTAAATTGCAGCAACGCTGGTGGTTGTGAGCAACCTATTCCCTTACGTATGCACTTTACATATCTATCCCATACCCGTCTCAATATTCGTGTTTCCCAGAATATGGTGACTCCATCCCCAGTACTAGTGTCAACGCAAGGGGGGAAGATCAACCTACATCAGACTGGACACTGTTCATTTCAAGTATGCCATTGAGCATTATTTGGCCCATATCTTTGACCTTTGATCACGTGACCCTTGCCATGTGACTCACTCTCAGATTACCGATGTTCCATGTTCCAGCAACAGAGAGTTTCAGTGTGTGTGTGGGAGGATGGCGAAAGTGAGATCTCATCGGGCGATGACGACCTCGGCACGCTTTCCAGGTACATATTCTTGTATAGGAATCCTGTTTGTGTACACTCTACAGCAACCTAAGTTCTCACCCTGAATCTACCCTGCTGCTGCTGCAATTGCTTCTGATACAACTACGTTCAGATGATGAGAGTAGGGGCTCTCTAGACTTCGGTTTCAAATGCCAGGGATAGGGAGAATTTTTAGGAGAACCCAATCTTTCAAACTGCAGGCCCTGCACATGGCATCTACCGCTTCGAGGAAGCCGCCCCTCTACTACAGCAACAAGCAGCTTCAGCATGAACTCCAGGTTTGCAAGTCTACAAAGTGATGCTTGAATGTACTGACTGACTGACAGATAGCTCGTGACTAAGGAGCTAGCTACCGTTTTTAAGTTGGTTTTTCTTTAGTCCTTGAGAGGGGGTTTTGTGGGTGTTCAGGCTGCGGCTGACTGGCTGACTGGCTGGCTGAACTTGTGTGTGTGATCAGTGAATGCATGATATTCTTTTGCAGAGTGCTGCATATAAGTTAATCTAGTGTGTGTGTGTGTGTGTATTCTCTGGAAGCCTCCGGTGAGCAGCCCACATGGAATTACTTTGACTGCCAGGCAGGCAGATACTGCAAAAGAATCCTCCTTCCCAGACTCCATTTCCTGCACACCCACTACATCCCTTTGACCTTTTCGGGCTTGCACCATTCGGCTTGCACTTCAGAGCTTGGATCAAGCAATAAATGGGAAAAAAACAAAGACAAAAACATATAAAAACGTATGTATGTCTGTGTCTGTGTGCATATATATATATATATATATAGAGAGAGAGAGAGAGAGAGAGAGAGAGAGAGTTTTTTAGAAAACAATTGGATGATTGTAATCTTTTTAGTTTCTAGTATTCGATATTATCTTTCAATGTGCATGAGAGGCATGCACTAAATTTCCATTTCTCAATACTATTTTGTTATGGAAGGTAATGTATGGAGAGAATGTAGGAGAAAAAAAAAATCTATGTAGATTGATGCAGACTAATCTAACTATGATAAATTTAAATTTGTTTGATGAGCTTCCTTTTCTTTAATAATATTTTTCTAAACAAATGCACAACTTCCTCCTCGTCTTAAAGGTTGTTACATCTTTGAGAAGAAACTTTTGTTAAGTTTGTATTGTTCCTTTTTGATTATTTCAGAAATGTTTAAAAACATTCTTTTACTACAGTATTTTTTAAAAAATAAATCAAATGTTATATTATTTATAACAATTTACAATGCAACACTAATATTGCATGTGTTATTATATACTTTGTAGTAATATAATTTTTTGAGTCTAAAAAGATCAAGATAAGAAGTAATTAAATTTCACTATACTTTTTATAAGACACAAAAGCAAATTGTATTAACACATACATGTTCAAAGGTTACATGTATAAAAAAATCAAAATGATATTAAATCATGTTGAAAAAAATTAATAAACTTTAAAAAATATATATGAATAATATTATACATAATACGTTTTTAAGATAACAAAGTTTAAAATAATACTGAAATAGATAAGATTGGCATTCTATCTATAGTATACAGTAAATATAACAGAAAAATCAAATCTATTGTAGTATTAAAAAAAACTTGGAAAACTATTCAAATCTAAAAACAATTATCAATTATGTACTTAATTTTTATCATTGAATTAGAAATATTATAATAATTTTACTGAATAGAATTTTATTCCTTTTTATGAAAAAAATATCTTTTAATAAAAAAAATAAATTAGTATCTAACATCAATTTTCTGTATAAAAATAAAAAATAATTTATCAACAAAGTATTGTCCTTAAATTTTATACAACAAGAATAAATCAACAAGTATATCAATATTTACCACACGTAATTTAAACTAGATTATGTTTTAATATTTATGATATAATATAATATATTTTATATTTATATTTTATATTTATATAGTTAAAAATAATTAAATGCTATAAACATGGCATTTTATTCAAGAGTAAAGTGATTTAAAAAATGATCGTCAATAACTACACAGCAAGATTTTACAAGTATTGAGTGTTTATTACAAAGTTTTCAAACACATTCAAAGTTTACACAAAAGCAGATATATAAGATAAAAGAATTCATTTAATTAACATTTCAGTAAATATAATATACATTTATATATACTTACTTATGACTTCCAATGTACATATACATTTTATATATGTATTTAGCTACTTTCATTTTACTTAAATTTCCATTGGCACTATTACTTTACATGCATGATATTGTATCATTAGATTCAAACCTTGTTAATAGTTTATCATATTTCTTTATGTCCAATTTAAAAAAATCTGAGTACTTAATCTTGTATTGACTTTCAAGTTAATTAGATATACTTGACTATTTTTAAGCAGAATAATTAATTTTTCCAAAAAAAAAAAAAAAAAAAACACACACTAAATAGTCAATTTTCTTGTAATGCTTAAATTTCGAGGTAGTGGCATTATTGTAGGCTTTGTCATTAAAGTTATCTAATTCTCCACTTATATGCCATTTGCTTTTTTATTTTGAAAGTAGGGCATAGAACTTTTTTTACTTTTTATTGTGATTCTTAGTGTGACCCAAAGGGAAAAGTACTCCCTTATTGCTAAATGGACATAAAAACTTCTACTTGTTGTTGCTTCCAAGGACAAAAAAAACATATTGAAACTTTTGAATAGGGTTATTTCAAAATTTTGAAATAAAAGATTCCTCGGTTATGAAAATGAAAGTGTTTGAAACTTTCCAAGGAAGCAAATTTCAATGTGGCACTCACTTGTTACACATGCACACCGACAACAAGTTATACAAACAAAGGAACAAAGAAAAAAAATTATAAAAAATAAAGAGGAGAGAGTAGATTAGATGTGTAGTACTTTTAGTGAAATTAATATGAATAATGAAAATTAGAAATCCTCTTGGAACGATTGGATTTAAGCATCATCATCCTCCATGAGAAAAAAATGCACGAAGCTTCTCGTCCAACTAGCAGCGAAGTAGTGGTCATCGTCGTCGCCGTCGTCGCCGTCGTCGCTCTCGTCGACGTCTTCGTCGAAGAGGAAGATATACAACAATCTCCGAACACGGGGTGTCGACGAAGTTTTGGCTACCGTCGGTCGTGGACGCCGGACCCCTGTCTGACATTCCATGGCAACACACACACAGAGTCGCAGCAAGCGGAGCGAGCGAGGCAGCGACACCTTCTCCTTTTCCTCGTCGTCCTCCCTCCCCGATCGAGATAACATTATTTGAGAGACTAATCGTGTGGCGCCTCATTGAACTGCCAGATAGCCAACGCTTCTTCCATTTGTCACCAGGGCTAGCTGCTGCACCACGCAAAATATCGAACACCGCCCTTCATACCAACTCCAAATCTGGACTTGAAACGACCCGCTCGTTCGGTAAATCAGTGAGTGCACCGCAGCTGAGGCCCGTAGACGAAAAACCCACCACCTGCACTGCCCGGCGCTGTTTGAATCTCGCCCGTAACTGTTGGAATCCTGCTTGTGTAGCATCGGAGATGAGAGAACATTCCACCAGCCGTTCGCAGAAACTCCATTTTGTCCTCTTCTGGTGGTTGCAGGGGGGCAGAGCCGCCTTTCTGTGATGGAATGTAACCATTCTCCCTCCGCAACCCCGGTTGTGAGGGTCCCGCTCCTGCGCTTCGACAAACGCGGATTTCTTATTTTAAAAATCGTCGGGATACTCCTAAGAGCAGCAGGAAGACTAGGCCAGAATGAGCAATAGACCGCTCCCGATATATATGTAATAATAATAATAAAATAAACAAAAACAAAAACCAAAACCCCCAACGGTTCCTCCCCTCGTTGTGTCACCCCTTGGAGAAACGATTAAGACATCGACTGATCGGGTGAGGGCGGGTGCCAGGGGCATTGACTAGGTTGTGAATATTCTTCCCGAATTATGCATTCTCAGCCTTC